CGCGTTGCACTGAGGGTTCTTGGTCTGAAAATTCTCGCGCCGAAGGGTCAACCAGCCCAATCAGCTCGTCACCACCTGTCCCCTCCTCCTTTGATGGCAAAACCAGGTTACTGAGACAGTACAGCTTCCTCTAGCAGACCTAGGGCCGTGTACATAGTGCCTGTCCACCTTTCTGATGACGTCTGCCTACGCGCAAAAAGATGAGATGGGCATTGCAGCCTACACCGACGGCCTGGAGGCCCGCGCTGCACCTTTGTACCTGACGCACCAGTGCCGACCCAACTTCACCACTACGCACGCCTCGCGGCGGGTGCGCCGCAGCAAAAAGGTATCGGTCCATTCAGGGTGAGTCTAGCCCTGCTCGCAAGAAAGACCCCCCCCTCACTTCGTGAACTCGGCAACCAGGTTACCGTTTTTTCTTTTTTTTTCCTCAGTTTTTTTTTTTGGCGGTAACCATAATGGTGGTCGAGTAGATCATGTTGTGCGGGGTGGAGAACCCTCGCTCCGCGCAAGGGGGATGATCGCACCACGTTGTGTTAAAATGGTCAAGCACCCTCGAGGCAGTTACACAGTGCTTACAACTGTCTCTGGAAGTGAAAGCACCAGAAAGTNGTGCCCCCCCCCCCCCCCCCCCGTCGCTATGGGTCATGCCTCATGCCTACGCAAAACCTTCCCGAGGCAGCGAGGGGAAGAAGGGGTGAGATTCTTACCAGGACACCAACCGTTTCCACCCTTTCTTTGCGTGCGTTCACACGGATCCAAACGAAGTTTTTTTTCCGGAAGAAATTATATAGTGCACAGCCGTTCTTCTCGGTAAGTGAGTAGTGCAGTGTATTGCACTTAGCCGGTTGGCAAAAACCATTTCATCCTCACGAAACCTGCCGTAGATCAGTCACCCGCACGCGCGCTAAAGGTTTCCGCACGAAAATCGAAAGTCCATTTACCTTCGGAATACGTATCATTCACCACGTTCTGTGTCGTATCGCATGGTACCATCATCGACGACTCCACGTTTTTCCATGGCGGTGTGTGATACAATGTTCGTCGCCGCCAACCGACACTTTGTGCGCAGGCGGAAGAGGCGGGAGCGGGATCGCATCAATAAGAAGAGTGTCGTTAACGAAAGGAAGCGCGCGAACAGCTCTAACACCAAGCGTCATGCCGTGCAAAAGGAGAGAAGAATCGCCAGCTCGCCAAGGGCAGGCGTCGTTTGGCCGACATTGCGCATGAAGAAGACGCTGTGTCGCGTCTATTTACAGGGTGTGATCACCAGACGACATGAAGCCCTCCAAGCTACGCGAGAAGATATGCGTATCCCTGTTGAGAATGCCGACCCTTGCTGTCATGGTGGAGCGAAACTCTTCGCCAAAGAATCCAAAGGGATATGCTGCAAAAACGGCAAGTACGCCCTGCCTACACTGTCCCCCCTGCCTCCTGTCCTCGCCGAGATGTACACTTCCAATGAGCCTTGGGCCCGACAATTCCGTTAAGATGCCCGGGCGTACAACTACCGCAACAATTTTGCGTCCATGAACGCCGAAGTCGGCGAGTTGAAGAAGATGTCTGACAACCATCTATCATTCGTCCAGGGAAGGTCGGTCTGCTGTTCTCGTGCAACAAAAACCATACATCGTCTGTGATTTTACGGTTTATTGCACCATCTTCGTTACTTTTCTCCATGCATTGTCTCATCCACTGCGCATTTTTAATTTTTTCATCCACGTCTGTCTGTCTATGCATAGTCTACATACCAATACCATTCGCCAATATATTTGTTTCCTGCCACGCCATGCATACTTCCGTCGACCTTACAGGACTTATCACTCTGTCAGGGAGACCACGCATTCCAACGTACGATCCTTTTTTCCCTTTCATTCTTGTCTCCCACAAACTTTTTCAGGCGGGCTCCCAACGTCATATCCGATTCCCTGGCTTTCACGTCCCCGGGAGCGCCCTCATTCGAAATCGTCGCCGTCGATACACGCGCCAAGGGTGTTTTGCCGAAAGATAGGACAGCGATGGCTAGAACTGTCACTGGAGAGACAAACAAGATTCCCGCGTGAGACAGGGACTACTTCCCTCTGACGTATATCTTGCTTTTCCCGGAGGGTGGAGTGTCTGGTTGGCACCGTGATCAAAAGAGCACTACCGGGCACAAGATTACTCTCTCACAGTAGCTGACGCAATTATTGGTCAGAGAACTTTTGCGACACTTGGACCATCCGTCTTATTTCGTCACCGCAACATGCAACACCGTGCGTCATGAGTGTATTAACCAAACAGCATGCGCCATTTCCACGACGCCTGCGATTTTTGCATTATTCGGACCGTTCAATTGTACCTGCGTTATTCCCTATTGCTCGTATGTGCTCAAATACGTGCCGCAATTTTTCCCTTGCTGTGAACGACTCTTTTAGTTTTCTTCACTGAAACTCAGTCATGATTCCACCCTACCGCCCAAACGGTTTCGATACAACACACGACGCAGGAGAAGTGGTCAGAGATCACGGAACACCTTCTCGATGGGCCAGACGGTTTTCGATCGAGCCGAACTGTGTGCACGTGTTTTCAAACAAAAGCTGGACGTTCTCCTCGCGTCGCCGATTCCATGCAGCGCCCACCATTTCCAATTTCATCTGGATATACAAGATACATTACTCAGTTCGCACCGTAAACTGCTCTCATATTCGGACCTCCTCCACCTCCCCATTGTCCACTCGCAAAAACATTTCGTACGCAGCTCTTACCTCAAGTTTTTGGCTATATCACCTACAGGATTGCTGTCATCGAGTTCCAGGTAACAAATTTCAGGCTGTCTATGCCCTTTCATCTGTCGTCATGCGCGGTAAGGAACGTACACCTGCTTTCGACGTACTCCTACCTCGCTACCCGCGTACTTGTGGACACCACTCTGCACCGCCACCCCGTCGTCGTTCAATAGTGAGGTGCACCCCCCTCTCCCTCCCTCCTTTCTTCCCATCTCTGACGCACTTCCACATGATAGAAGCGGGGTCTTCCTCACTCGCACATCGTCTTCCAAGTTTCCGAGGACCACAAACCTGACAACGTGCAGTGCGTCGACGAACACGTCAACGCGACATGGCCGGACCATGACAAAGACCCCCAACTATACGCCATCGTCGAAAAGTTCATGACGCACAAGGATTGCAAGAGCCAACGCCGTCTATGCTACCAGGAGGGGAGGAAGCAATGTAAGAAGAGATTCCCCAAGCCTCCTCAAGTTGTCACGACCTACGACGCCAGGGGATATCCGTAGCAGCTTAGTTAGCCATATTTTCTCCTCAAACTATGCGTATACTATGCGTACCTCCATCATCCACAATATCTGTATCGGTATATATGTATGTATGTACATATGTAACGTGTAAATAATGTAAATATGGATTGACAACGGTTTAACTGATGTTCTGAAGGCATATACGTGTAGAAGGGAGAGGTTGAGGGGGGGTCGTGGTGTACTTTGGGGGCTCCGTGGGGTCATGAGGGGTTGGGGGGGGTGGGGGCTCCGCGGGTCATTTTGGTCAAAAATGTCGCATTTCACCCAATCACCAAAAACTCATCGGATATCGACGAAGCTCGACGCCGCGGTCACGCCCAAAGTTGTTTCACTTTCCAAATCGTTTTTTTTCGAAAGATATCGCCAAAAACAAGATTGTGCATATTTGCCCGAACGGACCATATGTAACGTGTAAATAATGTAAATATGGATTGACAACGGTTTAGCGGATGTTCTGAAGGCATATACGTGTAGAAGGGAGAGGTTGAGGGGGGGTCGTGGTGTACTTTGGGGGCTCCGTGGGGTCATGAGGGGTTGGGGGGGGTGGGGGCTCCGCGGGTCATTTTGGTCAAAAATGTCGCATTTCACCCAATCACCAAAAACTCATCGGATATCGACGAAGCTCGACGCCGCGGTCACGCCCAAAGTTGTTTCACTTTCCAAATCGTTTTTTTTCGAAAGATATCGCGAAAAACAAGATTGTGAATATTTGCCCGAACGGACCATATATATATATGACCAAAATCAATTACTGTCCTCCCGTGTGGGGGGTCTGCCACACTTGCTACAGTACAGGTTTCCCGAACGACCCATGGGACTCCCATGGGTAATCCATAGCCACTTTGTTGCCCGTTGGTAGCCCGTGGGGTGCCCATGGGCGGCCCGTGAGCTGCCCATGGGAAGCCCATGGGCGGCCAATGAGAGCACTTCAACCGAACCGGTGTACTCCTAAACAATCAATTATCTGCGTTGGAACGGGCACTATGGCGACTAATAACCCTAACGCTACCCCTGACCCTAACACCATGCCCACACGATACGTGCTAGGTTGGCACTAGGTGTTCTAGGTTGATGTGCAGGTGGCCAAGTTCTAGGTTGATATGCCGATGGCGAAGTGCTGGGTTGAAATGCCCACGGCGGTCACTTCATGGGCCGCCCATGGGCATGGGTCACCATGGGTGACCCGCGGGTGTCCGATGGGTGGTTTCGCAAAACTGTCAGTAGTGTGGGAGATTGCGTGGGGGTGTACTCATCGTCGTGCATGCCGTAGTCTTTAGATCATTGACCTCGCTTCCCTACAAAAAGCCGGGACCAGGCTCTTACATCACCAAGCTCGAAGTGCCATGAGATGTTCAGCGAGTCGCATGCAGGGTGCGCTGCATCCTGCTAAGGGTGTTCGGCATCTTGTGCTTACTTCCTGGCGACAGTTGTAGACTTAGTATATTTTCTGGTATTTTCGCATCCAGAGAGAGTTATTGGCACTGTGCAACTGCCTCGAGGGTGCTTGACCATTGAACACGATGTGGTGTGATCATCCCATTTGCCCGGAGTGACGGTTCTCGACCCCGCACAACATACTCTACATGTACTCGACCACCATTATGGTTATCGCAAAAAAAAAACGTGAGCAAAAAGTAGCTGTAACCTGGTTGCCGAGTTCACGAAGTGATCGGCTTGTTTTTCAGCGACGTTGCCACACGACAAAACCCAACCCCAATGGCAAAGACCACAGGGTGGAGGGTTGGTCTCCTACAGTATGTGTCCACAAATATTCTTCACGTGTACCTCTGACAGCTATCGGCTAGTTTGTCATGCAGTCTACGGCCCTGCTATGTTAATTTCTTGGTCTTTTGGTGTGAGAGAACGAGGAGGCATACCGTAAGAGGCGGAGAGATGGCACCCCTCCTACTGTAGAGCGATTTCCAAAGCTAGCTTGTGCCAACGCCAAGAATGTTCAGTTGGAAACATCTCGTCGAGAGCTTTCCGAAGACGTACCGCTCTTTCCGCACAATCTTGTGGAGCAATGAGCTTTTGAAAGTCGCGATACGGGGGGTGTCATCTCTCCGCCTCTTTCGGTACTACGTCGCCGCTGTTAGGGTCCCAAGTCGGCAGTTTCGGGGCCGGGGAGTCTGCTCAGAGCACGCGTAGCTGCTGGTGTGCCGGGCACAGAGGTACTACCGCGATGCGAGGAGACCTTGGTCCTTGCAGGTGCTCCAAGCGTTAACGGTGTTGCTGGTTATTAGTTGGCTTCCCAATTTTCCATCATGAACAGAAGACTCTGGCGTGGAGTCGTCGAACGCATCAAAGAAACGTTACCACCGGCTTGTAAGAGGAGGTCGGATTGGTCACCGCACCTCGGTTTCCGCACCTCAAACCGTTCCTCTGTTCAGGGAGATCAAATCCCAAACTGGAAGTCCAGCGAGGAGCGGGGACCGACGGGTAAGTTTACATGTGTACAGCGCCTCGGCGGTCAGTGCGGGTCTCGGGGGCAACAGGGTTGGCCGCGAGAGGTTTGCGGGCATATTGTGATGCGTGGATTGGGGCTCCCAATAATGATTTCGGCGCCACCACGAGCCAAGAGGAACCGCCGGCGGGGGGTAACTCCGATTGTGGAGAGTGTGCTTCTTGGTTGGTACGCCCGTAGCGCTATGAAGCCAGCGTTGCCGTGTTGGTTGGGTGTACCCGTGACTTGGAGAACCGTGTCCATCCATCGTTGTTATCAGCGGGACAGTGCGGGTATTATGTGCGCCAAACACTACAAGAGCAGCAAATATGCTCTACCATATTTCGACTCAAATCCAAGGCAAAGGTGACAATCCCCAACCACTGCGCGGCAACCACAACGGATCTTATTGCACAATGCCTTGAACAGGCCTAGTGCGTGTAGTCTTTTCCGCTCGGTTGTCGCTGTGCGTTATACTATGCATACTATTCAATCAAAGCCAAGAAATTGGCTGCGCGTAGGTTCCTTCAACGAACGACGCGTGCAGATCGCTGATCGCCACATAGAACTCGTGCTCGGCACTCTACATGTATCTATCTCCACGCGGACATCACAAGTAAGTACCATCTGACAACAGAATTGTAGTTGCTGTTTGTTGTGTAGTTGGCAGTGGTGGCGCAGTTTGGGTAGATACAACACAGAGTGATCATTAGATCCAAAACACAGGCGCCCAAGCTGTCTTCACCTGACGGTTACAGACTTGGAGACNATTCCATGTACCGTCCAACCCTTTTAAGACATATGGTCTGATTTCGGTAAGGGGAGGTACTCACACTCCAAGCAAAATAAGGCGGTTCTGCAGGAACTTCACAGCTCCCGAACTTTTGGTCAATATGTCTGCCCTCTGCCTGTTGGACCTGGTGTCGATGTAAGTTACATCTACCACGTTTTGGTCCTCTAGGTGCCGGACGTGGTGGAACTTCACGTCGATGTGCTTCGTGCGGGGCGTGATTTTGCTACCCTTTGCGAACGCTACGGCACCCGCGTTGTCCTCGTACAATACTGTTGCTTGCTTCTGCTTCATCTTCAACGACTCTAGC